ATTTTCGGCCATTTTTCTAACAAATGGGTGCATGACAGTCGAAAAATCGAAAAATTTGAAATTTTTTATGTTTTGTCCCAAAAATTTCTTTCGCTAAATTTGGACTATTTTTGGTGAGAAATCAAAAAAATAAATAAAAATCGACCCTTAAGGGGGGGGTAAATTTTCTTTTCCCACCCTGAATGTTTGTTAGCCCAAAAATTGGGTCTGGTGGTATCTGGGGAGGTACCTAAAGGGTGGGCTGGAAAGGGCTTTTCAAACCCTAACTTGTGTGAAAATTTCATTCAGATATGATCGCGTTGAATTTTTTTATCAATGGTCCAAAAATTCGAAAATTTGCGAAATTTCGATTTTTGCACTATCCATACAGGGTCTCCAGAGGCAGACCCGGGGGAAATATTTTGGCTTTCTGGGTTTTTGCCCAAACCCAACTTCCGTGCAAAATTTCAGCCGATTCTGAGAACCTCGATGTGAATTTTGATTGATTTCGTGTGGAATGGTCGACATGTTCTACCCTGTGCTCGAAACGCAAATTCCAATGACCAACTGAAAATGAACAAAATTTTCCAACTTCGCATACGATACGCACTGCCATACGTTCTCTTTTGAGCGTACATTTATTAAAGCAATTTTCATTTCCATATTTTGCTGAAAACCAAAATCAATAGCATTACATCTGACACATTTATTTTTCTCTCACATTAAAATGTCTGAATAAACAAGGTAGCGTTGTGGTTGATAAGAAGGCATTTTCGATCTTTGCACTTAATACTATTCTCATGATGAAACGTACAATATTAAATAATTGCAAATTGAACACCTGCGGTGAATTACAGAGAATTTTCACTGCCAACTGTCGATCTAATATATAATTGGGCAAATGAGTCTTCAATATTCTCTAGATTGACGTCGATTTCTTGGTCCAGTAGCATCGCTTCATCGTAAGTTGGAAGATCAAACTCTGCGGAAAAATATGAAAATATTTATATGACGAAGATGAAAGCAATCGATATGAATTGATATGAAATTTTACACTAACCGTCATCAGGAAATGGAGGTGGTGTGCTGGTGTAAGTCCGTATTGATACTGTGTCATCATCAGGGAACATCGATGTTGATGGCCCCATTAACGGAGCTGGTGACACGACTGTATTTTCTACATTTCCTGAAGTATTTCGAATAGCTCTCGTTCTAGCAAGTATGGGTGATGCGCCATCGCCAAAAGGTGTAGTTCCTATCGTAATCGCAAAATCACGATATAGCCACTTCTTTCCGGAGGAAGAAAGCTCTTATCTACAAAATGATTTAAATAAATGATGAATACATTGCAACCGTTTAGACCTGGAAAAACTATAAAACTTACCGATAGTGAGTATCCAATTTTGATGATTTTGTTCGTTTCAGTATCTGTTGGTGGAATCATTGTTGGTACTCGGATACTCCCATGAAAAACTTCTGTCGTCATATATTTGCACTTCCAATCAAACATATTTCGTGTTACAATTACATCCTCAGTTTTTTTATGTTTGCTGTGTGCAGACCTTAGATAAACGGTATGCTATAGAACAATGAATGATGAATGAATGCATGGTTTAATTGTACGATGAAACTAAAATAATTGAAGAATATGTCTTACTCGTAGCATATATACAATGACGCTATCTACATGAAATCTTGATCGATTATTAAGTCTAATTTCAAGGTTAATACTTTGGCCACAAGCATATCCACGGGCTGGCAGACGAGTTGAAATACTAATTTGGAACTCTTCGTGTGCTAGCAATTTTCGTGTATGGTGGTCCAATACTTCAGCCTGATGAACAGAATAAATGGTAAAATACGTAACAAATTTCAACTCTTTGATCTCTCTCTCGCTCTTCCACACTTTGATATGGTTGTGAAATAACAATTTAATGTGGACGTGAAAGAGGGACCATTGTATATTTGGTTTGATTTAGATCAATTCGAAATTTACCGGATCTGGAATATTATCAAAATGAATTACATAATGTCAATCTAACTATGCTGTGTTATGCGTTAACTCATTAAATCGCTGATTCTTGCAAATTGTTTATAGAACCTACCCCAAGTGCTTAATGTATCGTCACAAAACCTTGGGATTTTATTCTTCCACCGAAAAAAAGTCTCACAAACACCAAAGTAATGTTTCAAAAAAACCAATTATGTTAAGTTTGAGCCACTTCACATCAAAAAGCTCTTACTTACTTGTAATGATGGATAGTCATTCAAATTAACCGACTTGAAAACATGAAATTTCTCTTCAAAAGTTTCATCGGGCCGTAATGATATGCCCAACACAACATTTGCAGTGTATTTTATGTGACCATAAGCGCCTGAAAACGATGATGGTATGTTGCGCGGCAAATTGCACGTGCAACTATAATCATGAGTTCCCAATGGCAATACTTGAATTTTACCTATCAAAGAAAGTGTTTTTTATTGAAACATATTGGGGTTTTGATGTTTGATAAAAACGCAATCATCATCATTACCATTTCCACCAGATAAACACTTTCTTATATCTAAGACATTCTCATCTGCCGTGTAGTAACCGTTTCTCTTTTTATCATCTTGAAAAAATTCGACATGCGCTGTTCCATGTATGTGAAGGCTACGAACATTTATTTCTTCTGTCAACTTCAACCGAACTGTTATGTGTAATTTTTGGCCAGAGTAAACAATCTTCTGTGCATTGTTCTCAAAGTTAATTTGACAAGTGGTTGGCATTTTCAATATTGTTTTTCACTCAATCACGTGTGTGATATTATTCCGAACAAAAGAACCCAACCAAAGTTTAAGCTTTGGTAGTTTTGGTTTCTTTCTATTAATTCACATACAAAAACATATGCTTCTACGCGTTAACTATTGTTTTTTTATTACTCTGTTATGAACACAATTGTTTACTCTTTTTTCATACTATCAATGAATCTTGAGTCTAAACACATGACCAGTTCTCCAAAATGACTGCACAAATGAATCACGATTGATTTTTAATGCAAATTATATCAGAAAGTCACATCACGAAGAGATTCCACACCACATAATTCTAGAATTGTTTTGATTTGTCAACGAAATGAGGGGAAATGCGATGTGTTTCGATGTTTTGTGCGTGCACGCACAATTGAACGCGCAGTACAGAAATAGATTTTAGCTGCACAGTTTTAATTAGCAGTTTTCCTTCCGGTAGTTACTTTTTCTCACCAACGCCAAACAAGAGTCGATCAATTTGGTCTCGATTCAACTTCTTGTACTCCCGAATATCCATTTTGTGTCTATTCGTGGCAAAACGATGAATGTTTTTGAATTTCAAAACTAGAATATCATTTCGAATGAAAATTCATGAACGTGAATATTTAAATTATTTGTTATGAGGGAAACAAATTCGTTGTGTTTAATTGAAGAAAAAAAAAAAACAAATTCTGTTGGAGTTGGAATATCCTGTTATAAAAATAGGTTTTCGTGCGATAGAAAATAATAAATGCGTCCGAATAAAATTTTATCATCAACATCATGTTTGTATTTATTCAATAAAAACAACACTTCTTAAGCTCTGACCCCGATTTCACCGGGTTGGAAGATTTTAATATTTTTATCGCCAACTTTGTACAGAATCGTTTTAGAAATGTGTCGAAAATCGGATCGTTTTTTATAAATAATTTTACCATCAACCTCATGGAATTCTCCTGATTTCATTTTGGTGATGAGATAATCCGAATTCGCGTAATCCTCTAGGCTGCTAACAAAATCCTCGTACAAATTGCTTGTGTTGATTTTCAGGACGATTGAAATGCGATCATTGGCCAGATTGATGAGTCTGTGGCAAAATTGGAGCACCGATTCCTTTGAGCAGCCCAAATCGACGAGAGTGCTAATGCTATCGATGATTATGGTGACATTCCCTTTGTCATTCAACTGTTGCTCCGCATCTGCTTTGATACTTAACAAGAGAGATTCCAACAATTCCGCTTTTGGTTCCGATAAAAACGTTGATGTGAGGAAATTTTGGCCGATATCTGTCAACGGTTCGGCGATTACGCATCGTCCTTTGTCTCGCGCCACACTGATGTTGAAGCCCAATCGGGCCGCTGCACTTGTGTAATGTTGACTGATGTGATGTAAACAAACCAAAACGACTCCATTCTGTTGGTATTTCAAGCAATTTCCAATCAAACTGGCCACCAGAAATGACGCATCAGCTCCACTGTTCTCCTGGATCAATACAAATGGTGGCAACTTTTGCTCATTCAATTCACACGCTAGCAAAACACTTGTTGACATTTTTCGTCGGCTGAAATTAAAGCGAATCAAAAGTGTGAGTATTTCAAAATTTCAACATGATTCCAGCAATTTCTTCGGAAATTTAGATTCTTCGTTCAGATGAGAAAAACAGGAATGTGTTTCAACACTTAATGAGATTCAATTGGAAAACTCAGCAAATATTTACCTTTTATTGGATTCAAATGTGCGAACACAAAATAGACGATTTCAGCAAAACAATCTAACCTCGCGGTGTGATTGTGACAAATGTGTTTGTTTTGAATGCGATGAGCTGTCAAAGTGACTGCCAGAAAATTATACAATTGTCAATGTTGAGAGAAAATCAAAAAGTATTTAAATCAAAATTTGCAATTTTGAATTATGCGATTAAATGGTGTGAAAAATAGATAAATTGTTCAAAATCAACCAAAAATTCGCATTTCTCATCAAATAAATGTTTTGTTGACCGAAATCTGTAAAGCCGATCGTGTCCCAAAATGCTTTCACATATCGTTTAGCACACGATAAATGTCAGATGCGCACACAATCACAAATGGCGCATGAGTGTGTGAGTGAGTGAGTGAGTGGCGATATCATTGAGGACTTTTGGGATTGCCATATGATATATGCTCTGTGTATCTGGTTCTATAAAAAAATGCATTAGAATGATGATGATGTGATTGTCTCGTTCGCACCAATTCGCTTATCGAATTTCGATTGTTGAAAATGATGAATAAAACCGAGAATAAAATACATTGCAAAGCGATCGTTTGGAAATGCATCGATTTGGCTAGGCGCAAATCGAAATGAATTTCGTGGAAATGTTGAATTCATTGAACTCCCGTCGAAATTACCGGTGTGCTGTATTTGCTATGCTCGTCACACCCATTCAATCCAATGCGATGGTTTCAATTACTCAATACGCTTCGAGTTCAATGCATGAATTATATATATGGCACGCGTCTTTGCTTTGGGCCCGCACACATATAAGAGCATCAATACACCGGAGTAGAAGATAGCAGCAGAAGCAGCAACATACAACAGCAGCAGTAGCAGCAGCAACACCATCGCAAACATGCACTCACACACAAGTATGGCCAGTAAACCAGCTCAAGCTAACACCACTCCATTGCATTGCATTGCATTTGAGCATGAATGTGAGTGTGTGTATGTCGAAAATGTGAGACCGCGCGCACTATTTGGTGTTTGTGGCGCATGCAGCGCCATTCGTGCAAAAGAGACGGCCTACCAAATATCCACACGAACCACAGAGAAAAAGACCAAAAGAGAGAAGGTAGGGAACACAGCAATGAAATGAAAAGAAGCGAGAGATTTTTTGTCCCAAAACGGGATTCTAGCGACTAATTCATTAATAGTGCACACAGACATACAATAGTTGCCGATCTGAATTCAAAATGGAGGTATCTTGTGTGATGCGTACTACATTTTCAAATCGGGCTTAACAAAAACACACACAAAATAAGAACGAAAGAAAATAAAAATAAAAACAATTTAATTATTTATTATATTTAAAAAAAAAACAGAAGAAGTAAAGTAATAATACACAACAAACGCGGTGACCAACCACAAACGTTACGAATTTTTACTTTAATTTACGTTTTTCTCTCCAACTTTTTTTATTCACTTTGCAAAATACAACAAAAAAAGATAGAAACTGGTCCGTAGAAAAACGCATACAAAAAACATTACGTTTAAAATACAACAATCAAGCGAAAAGTAATAAAAATAAAGCAAAGATTTACGATTTATGTATACATACAGAAAAGTTACGTTATAGACAATAGAAATTTTCATAAGTAACAAGAGCCGAACGACAAAAAAAGTTTTTTTTGCACATTTTTTTGATATGAAAATGCAGTGTAGTGTAAATAAATAGAATAAATAAAACAAGAAAAAAATAATTGCACATACGACAACCGAATAAAAAAGAAGAAGAAAATTTCAGTTTTTCCAAAACTCTAGTCTTATTTATTTTTTTCCCATCTGATTTCCATATAAATCGGAACAAAAAAAAAGAAGTCGATCAATTTGTGTGAAAAAATAGTGGGTTTTGTACATGGTGGTGTGTTTTCTTAAAAAATTGAAGAGCTGCTCCCCCACAGTATCATTTTTGGAAATAATTTGAGGAAATTTGTTCGCATCATCAAAAGGAACGAGCATTAAACGAGAGAGAGAGAGAGAAAAAAGCGAAAAAAGAAGAAGAAGAAGCAACAGCAGCAGTAGCAGTAGCAGCAATAGCAGCAGCAGAAGGAGAAACTGCAAAAAAGAAAAATTCATTTTCCAATACACTTTTGTATGCTCATTTCAATGTAAGTACACAATTCTAATGTAGATCCGTGTATAAACGCGAATAAATATACTGACAGCGCCGTGTATTCGTCTCCCGTTCACTCTTCATCGTCTTCTTCATTATTACTTTTTTTTTCCTACTTATTTCTGTGTATCGCGCGCTTCGTTCCACCGTACACACTCAGTATTTGTGTCTGTGTGTATGTGTTTCGCTTCTTTTAATTTGTCGAATATATCCCATTGTCGTCGTCCATCGCGCGCGCTGCCTGTCGTTTTTATGGTGAAATTGTGTGTATATATAAATGCAAGTAAAATGCTAGTAGCGCGCTTGTGTGTCTTTTTTTCTTTCTTTCTTCTTCGTCTTTCTGTCGTGGAAAAATGGTCGAATGAGTGAGTGAGCGAGCGAGCGACACCGAGAGTAATAGAATTATATTTGCTGATTGCGTACATGTATATGGTGAATGGTGCGGATAGGATGGATGGATGTGATTTAAGAGTGCATGATGGCGAGTTCAGTGGGCCTCACATTTGATTGTTGTTGTTGTGTTTCTCTCTCTCTCTCTCTCTCTCTCTCGCGCGCTCGCTTTTTTGCCGTCGAGAATTACTCTGCCCGATACATTTCGATTTCTTTTCGTAGCGTAATAATAATGAATTCCGTTTTGTGAACGGTCCACCACACTAATACCATACAATCACTGCTGCACGCTCAAAAGATGTGTTCGCTGGTTGTCTCACTCGCTGGTGTTTCGACCCAACATCTGTGCAAGCCGAAGAGAAGAACAAGTGACGACGACACACATATGTACAATGAAGACACATTTCATATGTGGCACATATTATCATTCTTATTCCAGCCAATTCAAGCGGAAAAGAGTGGCCTAACCAACCAATGGCATAAAATAGCGAAGTGGAGAGAAGTAGAGAAGAAGAAAAAAAACCAACATGGATACATATTGCATATCCACATCGTCGTTCTAACCCAAACGTATCGGTCGCTTTGCTTCACCACACCAAACAATAATCGTAATAAACGGCAGCATCATTGTAATAATGAGGCATTAAGCAAACACAATAGAATATATCAATAGCAAGCTTCATTCGATCATAAACGCCGTGTCAAATGTATGTTTGGGCTATACAATATACATATATTTCAATACCATTCACACTCTCATTCTTCCTCTCTCTCTCTCTCCGCGTGTGGCTCTATGCATTGCTCTCGCTCCCTCTCTCTTTCAATCACTGTGTACAAACATTTACCAAATACATACACATTGACACACGCGAGCGCTCTCTACGAGATCCGTTCTTTTTACCCAGAGAGACTCATGCAAATCCATATCCATCTTAATGTTTGACAATAAAATTCGAGTGAATGAGAGAAGCAGAACGAAAAGCATCCGAAAAGCTGAAAAGTGGGAAAAAAGCAGCAGGCAGGCAGGCAGCAGCCAGCATACACATCGAAGTACCAGAAGAATGAAAGCGTGAAGCTCCAACACTTCTTCAGTGCTACGTTCTTTTTGGAATGGCCAATGAACAGGCAGGCAAACAGACAAGAAGATATACACGTACATAAGAAAAGAGAGAGAAAAAACACATATATATTATCGAACCTACTTTACAATAATCTTGGCCGCTTTCCATGTAGCATCGAAGCGTACGAATTTATGGGCAAAAATATATATACACAAAGTGTGTATAGTCAAAACAACAGCAGCGCATACGTAATACATACAATCGCACATACACCTAGTGTGTCTGTTCTGTACGCTGCTGCTGCTTTCAACTACTTTTCGAATCGCGTGCGCCTTTCGAATGCGATTTCAGATATCTTTCTTTCCGTGTGAGTGTTCGCCAGCAATCAACAACACCGAAAAAAAAGTCGACGACGTCGCATGTATCCGACCGATCAACACACACAGCCATAAAACTGTGTACAAGAAGCAGTTGTGTGTGCCATGTAGAACATTGCATTCACATTCGACATACCCCATTTTTTGAGCGGATATGCATGTATCAGACACTCGGCACCCGTCAATGTATTGGTTTGCGTTGCCATATTTCGTTTGTGTGTTTGAGGGCTCAGCTATTTTTTTTTCTGTGTTCTATTCATTTCTCTCTGTATCGTATATACGTATATTTCTCACTTATCTATCTATAGTTGTTTGGCGTTTTGTTGCTACACTCTCGATTTTGTACGTATGTGAGTGTGATTGAGTGTATGTGTGCATATTTATGTGTCTCTTTCGCGCGTGCACCACCAATTTTCCAAATTAGTATGAGTGATTTGCCCGTTTGTCGTTCATCATTTTCATATCGAATGTGAATGAAATCCAATGTTTTTTTTTATTTCGGTGTAAAATGAAACAAAAACATCACATTTTCAAATATGTATACATTGGAATTGTATAATCAAAATTCAAGAGAGAGAAAGAGAGCGAGCGCTACGACAACGACGACGACCGAATAGAAAAAAAGAAGAATGCACTCTCTCAGTTGTCCTCTCTGTCGCTCCCACAGCACACAGATCAACATCGACATTCGAACGCGGTGCCCGCTATATGCTTGCTTGCTTGCCCGAGAGTAAGTCGCTCACTTGAAAATCATTGTGTATTGTAATGAAATATGTGTAGACAAAAATTAGTAAAGTTCAATCAAAAGACGCGAAAATCGCACGAAAAAAAAAATCGTCGCAGCAGCAGCATCAGCAATAGCAGCCAAGTGAATACACGAAAAGAGAGAAGAAAAAAAAATTGATAGAGAATTTTTGTCTACGTTTGTGAAATGAGAAGTACGCGATGTTCAGTCAGTCGGACGGGTTTTAAAGAGTTACTTGCAAAATTTCATCGTATATGTCTCTCTATATAGTACATACACCGAGTGCTGTGAATTCAATTATTCAAGTTTGTTTTTTTTTTTCTGTCTTTCCTCTATCAATTCGTATATATTCATTCGCAGTGTGTTTCATATTTCGACTTTCGATCGACGATAACTAATTGATGAACCCATGCAAATTCGCTATTTTTAGTGCAAATATTTTCTTTTATTCCGCTCTCCATTTTCGATGTGAATGTGTGTGGTGATGACAAAACAGCGAAGAGAAAAAATTGATTTAGTGTGAAAATGTTAATTTACTAATAATATTGTGTGATGGAATAACAAATCGATTTGTTGAATATTCAAATGGATTTTTGGTGTTGAAAAAAACACACACACACATACAACGAGAGAAAAAGTCAACAAAAAATCTGCAAAATAATCATTATTTGCCAGTAAGTTTGTAAATGCCATCAATTTATTGTTGTTGTTGTTATTGTCTGTGATATTTACAGGCATTTTTATGAAGAGAAATTTTTTTCCACACATAATGTGATTAACGAGACAAACTACAGCTCAGCGAGAAAAAAGCCAGCCAGTAATAATGAATGAAACAATGGAAGAAGTAAATAATGCGACTTGAATAAGCGCAACGGAGAAATTATTTATCGATGAAGAGAGAGAAAAAAAAGATCAAGAAAACATTGTGTCGGAGTAAAAAAAAAAGCCCACAACAGCAATGACAAACATAATTATTATTTTGCCGAAGTCACAAATGTGAAATTGAAATGGAAATGAAAATTGAATTGGAGAAAAAACAAGCATTGAATAATGAATCGATTTCGCTTGTCCGCGCACCAAATAATTTGCCATTCAATATTACGTTTCGTTTTGATTTTTTTTTTCTCATTTGCTTCGTCGTTAAAATGTTTTTTTTTTCAAAATTCAATTCGATTCCACATTCAAAGCGAAAAATTTGTTGTATTTTATTTTTATTCGCGATTGTATGTGAGTGTAATGTGAGTGTATGCGTGTGTGGCGATTGATGATTTTTATCGCATGTAAAAGTGAAAAATGCCCACAGTTGGGCGCATTTAATCGCGATGCGAATGAAAAAAAAATCAACTGTAAAATCAATGCAAAACCAAATTATATTACGCCGATCAAAATAAATACGCTTTATGCAATTGAGAAAAATGTTGATTCATACAGTAAAAAAAAAAATACGTAGCAGCAGCAACAACAACCACAGCAATAATCGAAAAAAGAATATCGTTAATTGCTGAGCGAATACAATGGCGTAGACATACATGAACAGGCAAGCAGACAAACCGACCAATCGAATTGTACAAAAGAGAGCAACAGCAATAGCAGCAGAAAAAACGACGAAAAATTGTGTTTGTTTTACCTCGACGCCGACGGTAGCGCGACCGTTGTGTTTCGATTTTTATTAAATTAGTACTGTATATTTTCTCATTTCGAAGAGAGCTGTCGAGCTATCTCATGCATGTATGTGCTAAAATATATATAGCGAAATAGTCGGTTTGTGTGCCGTGTGTCGCTTGCGCGCTTAACGCGCTCTCCGTTTCACTCTCTTCCTCGCTCGTTCTACATTGCTATGCTATGCTATGTGCTGGCCGTGCAGTCTCTCGCTCTCTATTTCCAATCCGTCGTCCCGTTGTGTCTTTTTCGTGCATTGAGCAAAAACAGCAACAAAACGCGAAAAAAACAACACACACCGAACAGAGAAGACAATTACACAGCATTGATACACAGAGCGATTACGTTATTGCCCCCAAAAATCGATTTGTTGTTAACTTTGTTTTTGTTGGTGGTAGATTTTTTCATTTCTCTTGCTCACTCTCTCTCTCGCTATATTTCATTTATTTGCACCGAGCTGTTCGATCTGGTGTTGTCTTTATTTTGTCGCAACTAATGTACATCATTAATGTAGTGATGCGTTCGTATTCGTTCGAGAATCGAAAAAAAAATTATTATTGCATCGACACACAAATCGATGCGATGATCGTGTTGCCGATTCTTTCCAAATATTTTCCGATTCGATTGTATGTTTCGATTGCGATTTGTTGGGTGTCAAAATTTCGCCATTCCAATCATTTCCAATCGTATGATTCGATGTGTTGAGTGTGTGTTTGTGTGTAGCAGAGAGCAATCGCGCACTGAAGTAATTAAATTATCCAGC